CCTGAAACAACCTCTGGGCTGATCTAAGTCAGGGCATGGCTAACTCACAGATGGCACCCTGAAACAACCTCTGGGCTGATCTAAGTCAGGGCATGGCTAACTCACAGATGGCACCCCGAAACAGCCTCTGGGCTGATCTAAGTCAGGGCATGGCTAACTCACAGATGGCACCCTAAAGTCAGTGCACATATCAGGATCTAATCCAAAGATCGAAATGGAAACTATCATGTTAGGTTTTGCAGAGGAAGGAAAATCGGAGAATCTTGAGACAAACCCTCAAATCAAGGGAGAAACCTAACGAACTCTACTCACATGTGATGCCATGTCCAGGAATCAAACCTGAGAACCCAGAAGTGAGAGGCGAGTGCACTACCCTACACTCACCTTGATTGACGAAGACTGTAGTATAATTCATATAAGGTTATGGTGTTGAAATTTCGAACGCGAGATGACATGTAATTTTCACTTTTTTGTCGTTTTGTTAGGTGGATGATTCAAGCAATGAAGCATCTCTTGACTTATGGATACACCCTTGGAGTGAGTCCTTCGTCCTTGCTATCACCTTGTAGTAGATATATGGGAAGGATCGGGACATTCTTATAGTGCTTCGAGTAAGGTCGTACCACAGGGATCCCAATTAAAATAGATGGCGACACCCATTTAGTGAGTCCTTCGTCCTTGCTATCTCCTTGTAGTAGATATATGGGAAGGGATCGAACATTCTAGGAATGTTTACGTTTCGAGTCAGGTCGCAGCACAGGGATCCCAATTTAGATGAATGAATGGAGATACCCTCGGAGTGAGTCTTTCGTCCTTGCTAACTCCTTGTAGTAGAAATATGGGAAGGGATCGAACATTTTAAGAATGTTTCGAGTCGGGTTGCATCTTCCAGAGAATGTGTAAGGTTGCTGTTGAGCTGGGTACTGACGATCAACCTGCTTGAGAAATTTCGAAAGTGAATAGATCCCTTTAGCGGTGTAATGCATGTTTTCCCATGTCAGACCGCGTGTCATTCCCTAGTGTATCATATCTTTGTTTTACGGCAGTGCATGAGAAGACACATAAAATGGATACAACTCAAACAAAGAATCTTATTCTCGAGAGAATATAACACAAGGTCTGAAATGAGAAAACTTTACAGACTTATGTGTTTCATGTTTCATTGCAGTCTGTCTATGCTCAGCCACCCTATGCTGTCAAGAAACTGCTCAAGATTGTACTCAGGTCACGTGGTAAACTACATGGCCAGGATTTGACTCCAAGGTAATAATGGAAATGAACAAATAAATAAAAGAATGAACTAATGAATGAATGAATATTAATTACTAAGTGAATGAATGTGGACGGACGGACGGACGGACGGACGGACGGACGGACGGATGGATGGACGGACGGATGGATGGATGGACGGACGGATGGATGGATGGATGGATGGATGATCTGACTGTTTCCCCTGCTCGTTACTCCCTAGTAACAACACACTACATCATTCTATAACACTCAAACCCATATCTTTAATACAACACGTCACAACATTTTTTACATTGTTTGTAATCCTATCGAATTTTTTACTATTATTTAAATGATATCAATGTGGTACAGGACACCCATGCAAAAACGACAGTTGGATGGTGCAGTGCATCGAACGCCTCCACTCTTTTATGACAAAGGTGAGTGAAGATCTTCCTAATTATTCTCTTTCATTTTATCGATACCCTGAAACGACCTCTGTGCTGATCTAAGTCAAGGCATGGCTAACTCACAGATAGAACCCTAAAACAAGCTTTGGGCTGATCTATGTCAGGGCACGGCTAACTCACAGATAGAACCCTGAAACAACCTCTGGGCTGATCTAAGTCAGGGCATGGCTAACTCACAGATGGAACCCTGAAACAACCTCTGGGCTGATCTAAGTCAGGGCACAGCTAACTCACAGATAGAACCCTGAACCAACCTCTGGGCGGATCTAAGTCAGGGCACGGCTAACTCACAGATGGAACCCTGAAACAACCTCTGGGCTGATCTAAGTCAGGGCACGGGTAACTCACAGATGGAACCCTGAAACAACCTCTGGGCTGATCTAAGTCAGGGCACGGCTAAATCACAAATGGAACCCTGAAACAACCTCTCGGCTGTTCTATGTCAGGGCACGGCTCACAGAAGTGTTAGGTTTTACAGAGGTAGTAAAACTGTAGGACAACCCTCAAATCAAAGGAGAGTCCTCACAAACTCTATTCACATGTTATCCTGGGTCAGAGACATCTTTACTTTGCCTTGGTTTAATTATAGTGTGGAATATTCTGTGCAGTGCGTCTGGTGGAATCAAAGTCAGTAACCACTTGCTGCCTCAGGTATGAATTTAACACCATGTTCATAACTACGCCGGCGCTGGCGCCAGTTCAAATAACACACTTCCGAGACATGCTTCGCTTGTCACGCACAAAGGGTTTCATTACGAGGCTTCACATACGTGATATATAATGCATAGTGATTCGTGACATGAGAAAAGAATAAATTTAATTTAGCACGTACCCACTACTGAAACTTTTATGCGTGACAAGCAAAGCATATCTCAGAAGTGGGCTATAAGCCTGAAGCGAGGTGACGTTTTACCCCCGACTTTATACCATAATAGTTTTTTAAATTCTTTCATATTAAAATTTTTGATTCCTTAGAGAATACAGGAACAATAGTCATAATTAAAGAACAAAAGCAGTGTGAAAAGGATTATGGTCTGGAGACGGGGATAGAACGTCATCTCGCTTCAGGCTTATTCGCATTGCAATTTTGCTGCCTTCAATGAAGGGAGCACGGCAGAAATAAATTAGTGGATTGATCTTCCTGTGGTATTGACGTTTGCTGACGAATACGGTTTTCCGCGGAAAATAGTGTGGACTCAAATAAATATTAAAGATGGCGGCGTTCATAAAATTTATTTGTATTTGTATCAACCGCTATATTTATTTACTTATGAGCCCCCGCGACTTTTAAGAAAACCGCATACGCGTCAATACCACAGGAAAACCAGTCAATTAAATTACAGACCACAGGAAGACCAATCAACTAATTTATTTCTGCCATGCTCCCTTGTTTCAATCATTCGGTAGTCACGCCTCATAGACCATATTTGATGGTTTTTCAGCGGTCTGGAGCAGAGTTTGTGCGCACGCATACCGTGGGCTCAAATTGAACGTTCAATAGTAGGCTTCCACGGTAGTTTGATGTACGATGAACTGCTAGTAATCCCCCTTAATCCCGAATTACTTTTGTTTTCGCTCACCAGTTACCTACCATCTCTGACATGACTCGAAATGAGATCAACTTCCAGCTCAAAGTGGAGGAGTTACTGAACGATATATCGAACCCTGAGTACAGACAGTTAGTAGTAGAAGTAAGTAGGCCACACACGCACAGCTAAATGTCGCTGTCTTATCTTGTCTTTCCTACTGGTCTTATACCCCTTTGGGAATTTTGAAATACAGGTTGGTCTCAGCCCTAGTAGTCAGCGTTATATTTGCAGCAATAAAAAAGACCTTCGTGACTATGACAACTGGTCGCCAAATAGACCCTTTTCGAATTAGTCAATCACTGCTGTTTTTTGTTTGTTTGTTTGTTTTTTGTTTT